AATAAAATAAAATAAAATAAAATAAAATAAAATAAAATAAAGTAAAACCAAATAAAATAAAATAAAGTCAATAAAATAAATAAAACATAAAATGAGCAAAATATAATAATATATGTAAAATAAACAAAATAAAACAAAGCGAAAAAAAGTATGTAAAACCAAATCAACAAACAACGAAATGAAAAGAAATTATATAAAAGAAAATAAAATAGAATAAAACAAAACAAAATAAGGTTAATCCAAATAAAATTAAAACGTAAAAAAGTAAAAAAGTAAAAAGGTACACAATTTTTTTTGTCGATTTACCATAAATGAGCTACGCGAAATATGCAAATTACAAAAAACACTGACTTCCGACAGTCACTTAGTCATTTTACGCAAACACAAGCAATTTGTCAACTCACCGAAGGGCACCTTATCGTCGTTGCTGTCATCCAACGATATCGCTGATGAGGAGCCGTCGTCCGATTCTTCAGCTGCATTGTCGGTGTCAGCGGGGGCGGCGGCGGCGGCGGCGACAGCAACAGCAGCTAACATCGAATCGCCATCAACATTACTATAGTCAGCACTTTCCAACTCCAAAGCAACATCCTCGTCCGTGGCAACACCACCGCCATCACCGGCTCTGGCAGCCACATAAGTGGACGCACTAAGCGCTGAGGAGTTGCGTGATTTTTTATTTTGTCTTTGACGACGCTGTTGCCGGCGGTTTTGTTGCTCCTGCTGCTGTTGCTGTTGTTGTTGTCGTCGAAAACGTTGTCGCTGTTGCTGGCTTTTACGCCGTTGTTTTTCTTTGACCAATTGTTGCTGCATCCTTGCCTCGAGCGAGCCTATGCTAACTGCGTCTACATTGCGTCGCTGCAAATGACTAAGTTCGCTGCTTGACAATATTGGCATTGGCAACGTTAACGCTACAGTATGTTCATCATCATCGTCCTCATTGCTGTCACTATCACCGGCAATGTCAGTAGCGCGTACTGCCAGGTTAAGTGATAGCAACACGACTAGGAAGAGGGAGATAATGCAAAAGTGCCGGTAATGCATTTGTGTGTGTTGTTGTTGCTTTGTTGTTTTTTTTTGGTATGAACAATTTGTGTGCCGCTTTTTGTGGGCTACGTCGTTTTTTTTGGTATTTTTTTTTACTTTTTGTTTTGTTAGAAACTCTGCTCTTGAGTTATTTCGCAGGATACGTTAATTGTTGTCCCATTATCACTTTATTTTCATTGCTTTTGCGTTTGTGTGCTTTATGTACGAGTACGTACTTTTCACATTATTCACTCATGGAATTTATGTCATTCAATATTTATCACCGGAAATGCACCGGACATTTTCACTGTGTAACGTCTTCACTGCGCTTTACTTCATTTTTGTTCACTGTGCTTGCGATAATTTTCGCATTGCATTCACATTCGTCTGGCATTATCAGTCGCGTCACCACTAAGCGGAAAATAATAAATATAAAACCACTTGACTTTATAGAAAAACAGACTTATTGTTGTTATGATTTTTTGCTATCTTCATATGTGCGTATGTATATATATATATTTTTTAAATCAAATTAAAGTGCACATCACCAACTCCACAAATCAAACAGCAAATTTCCAACATTAACGATCAAACAAGCGCTATTCGTTCGCATTCGAATGCCACAATTATCTCGGTTGTGTCATGGCTTTTTGTGACAGGGCATTTTCGTTGGTGTTTGTTATTTTTCGTCGCCTAAATTGCTAGTTCTTAATACAACTTGACACTTGAACATCTGCCTACGATTTACTCGCACAATCATCCCACTCGTAGGCGGCTATCTTCATGTTCATGTACCAGTATGTGCAATGCACTCGTTGGCTTACTTTATATGTTTTTTAATAACTTTTAAATTCTTTATGCTCTCAATACAACAATCGTTTTATGTATTACTGTTGACACTACCACTGCGAGTAAAAGTGTTTGTTGTTATTATTTTTAATAAACACAATTTACAAACAAGTGATTCAAACCTCTATCTACATACATACATACATACTACTTTGATATGTACATTAACCGAGGGTATGAGCACATTTGCCAATTAAATTTTTTAATTGAAATTTGTCGCGGCATATTAAACGCTCGCATTCATTTGGATTAATGCGCTTTTTTGACATCTCCTATATTTGCAGCTACATACACAGAAACCAATGTACATATGTACGAGTGCATTTATATTTACTTGGTCAAGCTACTGAATTTTAGTGCAACGAATGCTGTGTAGAGTACAAATGTGAAATGCCTGTAGCACTCGTAAATTGTGATTATTTTATACAGTGATGAACTCATTTCGCTCTATTCTAGTGATTTGCATATTTTATCATCATTATTATTGGAACGAATGTAAAAATTAATTTCATAGATGCAACACGTTTAAGTCCTAGGCTAGTTACGGCAAATAATGAACGACACCGGTACTTGAATTTAATAGCAGCTATGTAAGTTTACTCATAGATAAACCTGCGATAGGTTAAAAATACATATTTATTGCACTGTTAATTGGAATGTAACGAAAAATTAGCTTCATCTTGATTGTCTATAACAACTTGCTTGTTTTTGTTAAGTCGTTGGATGAGTATAAGGAACTGCCGGAAAAATAAGAATAATTATTCTTTTGCTTGACCAAAAATTCGACCACTATTTTAATGTAAGGTTAAGACTTTTTATATAAACTGTGAACGCCTGGAAGAGGCAAACGAGCGCTGTCCTTCGCGCGACATTAGAAATGTGCTTGGCTACGGCGGACAAAGAAGGCATATTTCGCACAATTTCCAGTTTCCACCAATGCACTTTCAACAACGGCGAAAGGTTGGCCGATCGAAAACCCAAATCAATAGCGTTATGGTGAACAAACGAAACGCTTCTAAATAGCCTAAATCGGCTTATATCCATGCCAATCGAAACGCTGCCAACCTTATAGACCTACTTTTCATGTAAGGAGCTTAAATCCACTCGTGTCCATGCCTTGTTACAGTAACTCTGTGCAATGTAGAACATGCGTCAGCCAGCACGTCTAAGGTTTGATGCGAAATGCTCAATCCAAATTGGAGTGTCGCTGCTGCTGAGAAGTAACATTGTGCGAGCGACATTGAGCAATACCGGAGGAAGATGAAGAAGGAGAAACTTGCCTTCAAGTAGAGTAAGGAGGTATAAAGGGCCGGTAAGTAAGGTGCAGCTTGTGATCCTGGCGGAACAAAAAATTCTATCAGAAAATAAGACAAAAATCACATGATTTCAAAACCGGGACTGGTTCCAGCAGAGACGAAAATGGAAGCCTAAGAACGATGCTCACGTCCCTAAACTCGACTAAAATAAGGTAAGTGGCAATGATTAGCTCTTAAAATAAGACCGCAGAGCCGACTTTCTTTCCCAGTCCACAATAAGCGAGATCCCTCTGTTTATGCCGCAGACAATCACGTACAAGCTCCTGTCGATAGCACTGTGTGAAAGACTGAGGTTCTTCATGAACTAACTGATTGGGTATTGTTAGTATGACTTCAGATCTAGTAATGCTAGATTGACCAGATCTGTGTAAAATCCTAGAATAAACACTGATAAGAAAATAGACACACTGAACTCCGTCGTCAAGTTTAAAGCGATTTCGATACCGATCGAAAAACTTGTGTACATACATACATACGTATTGTATATGGCTATCTAGAGTGACATTGAGCACAAATTTTAGCTCTGTCGAAATTAATGTTGCCATATGCAGATGGTGTTGGACCAAAAGGAAAAAGATGTTGGTTAATTAGATTTCGTCGCTCAAGTTTTGACAAGTAAGAGTTTAACGTGCTACAGTATTCAGTTCGTAGTTGCATCAGAGTTATCGTTGGTCTCTATCCGCCGCTAAAACTCTTCCTCTGAAATGAGTGGTAAATAAACTCTTACAACGGCATTCACGGGGTGACATACATAGGTGATGATAGTCTCTCGGCGAATGTCGTTGATGGCCAGTTTGTAGAACGTCTGTCCCAATTGATGTATCATACTAGTCTCTACTTTACTTTTTTTGTATAGGTGTTAAAAATAGTTACCGAAGATTTCCTAGCTGTAAGAAAAATGCTGGTTGCAGTGGAGCAATTAGTCAGAGTGGAGCGATAGCCATCGGCGTAGCCAGAATGAAATTTAGGGGGGCGCTCGACCCTATTAAGCTGGCATTTCAGGGTACTATTTTATATATATATAAGGAAAATTTGAAAGTTAGGGGGGGTTATTTGCATTATTTGGCGATAAATGCTAAGCAAAAAAATCGACATACATTTTTTTGAGGTGTGCCCACTTTGAAGATCGTGTGTTATAGGCAATCATTATATGAGACATCGACGCGAAACTCATGACATCTGTGGGCAATAATAGCCGCTTGATAGTCAGTCACGATCGTCGAAATGTTTTTATATCGTTAGTTTCGCTTGATACTAAAGTCCGCGCGTCTTTTCATATCGCATGCTTCAACCTGGAAAATGGAAATATGTTTCCCATACCCAACCCCTGGCCAAATACACCTATCCCTCTTCAAGCAATGAGCCAACAGTGTTTAGGTGTATCCAATATGTCTCGGATATGCCTACCCAGCCCTTCTTATTACTGTGTTCAATTTCGAACCTCCTTGTAGATGCACGGTATCGCTCGGTATTGCAATTTCGTCAGGATATAGAATATCGAGGTTCCTGCGATTAATAAACCCCTGTGCCCCGACATTGGTACCAGTCATACATACTTAGTAGAGCCGTTTTCACCTGAGTCTGTATATGAATATGAAGACCTTTAAGATCTAGAAGAACTTTAAGGAATGTGCTTGTTACAAGTCCTCATGACTCCAGTTATGCATACACATGCCAGCCTTTATATCTTGGGCCTTAATAAAAAAGCACATTTTTTCAGCAGCAAAATCAATATTCCAATGGAACCAAAAAAACTCCTATTTGCTTTCTCGATGATCACCTTAACTGGACTCAACGTGAATTTAGTACTCGCAGATGCGTTTGCCGTTATTTTTTCCACAAAGTGGTAGCGGGAACCATTTCAGTCACAATTTGAAAAAGAAAAAACTCTCTTAGGTACCGCTTTTACAAGTACATATCGTCGTTATAGTACAAAACCGCGCATCGTTATTCTGAAAAACCGCGTAACTGGCATTAGCTGCCAAAAATTGGATTTGCTCACAGAGACTCTTGGCTCAATGTACATGCAACACCAATTTGAAGCTTTGAATAATAAGTATGTATTCAAATTACTCCCAATGAACTCACTCCACTGTCATAAAATTAATTAGTCCTCACTTCATTTAATTCCACCCCCAAGCTCCCGTAATATTCACTGTCCACTTTTGCTCCAAAACGCGACGGCATTAATTAGTCCAATTGACCTCCATTTCGAAAGTCAAAATTTTAAATAAACAAGGCGAGCAACAACAAACGACACACGGAATGAGTGAGAAGCAAACGGCAAGCGAATGCAGATAGACGACATAGCAAAAATACAAAGGCAAATAGAGGCATTTGTATGTAGTATACACACAAACACCCACACTCACGCACAAACACCGCTTACAAAGCGCGGCAGACAGCTGCCAAAGGCTGAGGAGTGATTGAATAGCGAGGCATTTTAGCTTGTTAAAGGAAGTCAACCACTGACAAATGCAAAAGAAATGTATTGTATGCTTTTGTATGCTGAAAGTAGTTAGTAATTACTTTGTATACAAGCGTTGAAGTAGGCGGAAAGCAGCGCATAGTTTCCTGCTGTGCGGCAATCGAGATTGAGCGCACTTACAAGATGAGGCTTTTAGCGGATTGTCTGGGCAGGCGGACGTGCACGGACGTTTTTATCCTTTACGAAGCTTTAGTAAACGTACATATGTCATTACATTACCGTTTTCCCACCAAATAGTGGGTGGACTATGCACGCCACACTCTGTAAACATCAAAGAGTTTTCCCACACAGAGAAATGTGCCACACTTTGATGTTTCTAAATTGCACTCAGCGGTGGGCAAGAAACAAAACCAACAACAAAAACTGTAAGCATGCGTAAGCACGTGGATAATGATGAAAAAAAAAAACTGACTACATGACGATGCAACTAGCGGCACAGCACTGACAAAGTGTATCGGACTTTTTTTTTATTGTAACATGTTTGCTTTTGTAGCATACTTTGAGGCGTGCAAACATGCCCCGCGCACACACACACACACACACACTCTCTTTGTGTCTCTCACTTTTTGCCCGTGTGTGTGTGTTTGAAGATGTGTGCGCGCGTGTGTTTGTCAGCAGCATTTGTGTGCTATGACACGAAGGCGCAGAAGACAAAGGCACACTTTTAAGAACAACGCGCGCCCGCCCCTTACACGAACGTACATACACAACAAAGCCGCGCTTCAAAGGATACAACAAAGGTGCATGAGGGGACTCAACTCGTTGACAGATAGAAGCAGCAAGCAAAAGAAATTCTCACAGATGTTGCCGACGCCGTTCAGTACTTCAGAGTCAGCTCACAGCATACAGCCAACCCACTCACTTACCGCCGCCTGCAGCGCATCATCGCTCAAATTGGAGCAGTTGCCAACGGTACAACCATCCAGTCACACAGCCACCCATCAACCCCAATCATCTCATTTTGTTCTTTAGTTGTACTGCTTTCACTGCTATTGAATCACATCACCACTATTCCGCGCATACTGTCACTCAGCGTTGCACATAGGGAACACTTCCGGTGTAACGGTAAAATAGTACATGTATCATAAAAAAAAATACACAAGTACACGTACAAATGAAAATAGAACATTCAAAGGGTTTATATGGCAGGCGTGGTACAGGTGCCTTTGAAAAGGTAAGGCACATTACACCAAGCGCGGCGAGTAGGGTGGGGGATAACTACGAGTACATACTCGTCGGTGCATTAATTATGTATGTATGTAAATATTGGGGGGGTGTGGAGAACAGTAAGAAACGGAGTAGATCAAACAAAGTCCCCCATTTTTTCATGCGCGCGCTCACTCGATGAGTGCAGTTTAAAAGAAAAACGAAAAATCTAAAATGGACAAACTATCAAAAAGGAACCGCGGCGGTGTTGTTTTTGTTTTTACGCGTTTATAGCAATCAGCACTTTGTATGTGTGGGTGTGTGTACACTTTTAGTGACAGCACCACAACGGAAACCCACATGTAAGCGCGCTTGCTGTTAAAAGTTTTTCTAACTGTATTTCCTTTGACAGTTGTGACAATTTTGCAGAAATACGGAAGCGAGTAACGGAAATGCCTTAATGCATTTGTATTTTCTTACTTTCATACACAATGTATATATGAAAACATTTATATTTAATTTTTTTTCACTAAATTTCGCCATGCAATCACTTTTCTTCAGTTATCACTAAATCGCGCACTTTTCATTTCTTGCCGTCCACGCGCAGACGACACCCACCACTAGCGATTGATAAAACCCAAATGATATGAGGTTGATCAAGAATGTAGCAAAACACCACACGAATTCTACTACTTTTTCAAACAACGAGGGAGTAGTGCGTAAAAACGGAGCAATACAACACTGAATGCGGCTGTCAAAGGAGATGCCAGCCAATCGCAATATTTCCTTAGTTGACATCATTTAGTTTTTTGGAGAAAATCTAATTTTATGTCAATGAATCTATAGGTATACTGGCCAATAAATGTTTCTCAGTTATTTTCTCACCTTTTTTAATAACTTTTTATATTTACAAGACATACGTACATATATGTATTTTATTTTCTTGTGATTTGTAATCTTTTGGTCTTATCCTTTATTTTTGGTTACATAATACTTCAGTTCTTTTTCAATTCTTAAATGGTTTATGTTGCCTATGTGAGCGCTCCGCCAACGAAACCAGAAACACCCAAAAAATGATTTGTGAGTATTCTTTTTTATATTTTTTGCTATTGATCTTTTTTACTACTGATTTAAATATGTATTCGCTTTTACAACAGCCATTTACTCGTTTTTAACCCATTCCCTATATTTTTTTTTTACAAACCCCCTTGGAGTTGTATTTAATAAATAAATAAATACGCCTAGCCCACTTGTTAGCAATTAATTTACAAACCCCACAAATTTCTCAATTCTCTATAATCCCCTTTACGACTGTCATTCCACTGCCGTTGGCTCAGTCGCTGAGGCAGCCGTCGTCGCTGTTGTTTTCGTACATTTTGTAGGAATGCAAATTTCGGGGAGCAACATCGATACATCGATGTTTCGATGCATCGGAAAAATGAACATCGATGCTTAAATACATTGCCAGAAAAACATCGATATATCGATGGTTTCCGATGTTTCAAAGTTTCTTAGGTTGTAGTCACATTAAAAGGAAAATTTAATACTTTTCGATTCCAACTCTCTATAATTCAATAAGAAAAATACTTGCATAGTATTTATCCTTAATTTATTTACCATTCCTTTACCCTTCCTATAAATAGAAAAGAAATGCATGCCGTCGTTAGTTCGCTGAGCCTAAATTTCCAAGGTCCAATTTCGTTGAAATTTCAAGGGGATCACGGACCTTTTTTATTGACCAACTAAGTGTTTTTAATATCAAAAGATAAGAGTAAACTCTGAATGTTCCTCAAAAGAATAAGTAATAAAATTCATGGCCAGTCAAAAAATTGCAATAGCATAAATCGATGTTAAAACATCGCTTAAACTGGCATCGAATGTATCGTCAATTTAGCGATTTTAGGAAATTGCCAACATCGATGGCAAACATCGAATTTTGAACCGATATTATCGATATTTCCAAAATATCGATGCATCGTTTGCATCCCTAACATTTTGACATATCACTGCCGTATTCGTGGACGTTGTCGTCGACGTCGCCGCCGTTGTTGCTGCTCGAGCTTCGTGCGCAGCTCGTCATTGATTTTTTATTTTTTCCAACGCAGTTCAGCAAACGGCAGTGAAAAAATTTTGTGCAGTTCAAATAAAATTCCCTAACATCATAAATTGTTGCAATTAATTGCAAATTTGCAGAAAATTTGCAATTATGGGCGACAATGAGCAGAAAGCGCTGCAATTGATGGCTGAAGCCGAGAAGAAATTGACACAACAAAAGGGATTTCTCGGTTCGCTATTTGGGTGAGTGTGTGATTCCATCGACAGCTCTAGATTTAATTTAAATCCCCCAGCTCCGAATTGTGACGTGTATAATCCACAACATATATGTATGTAAATAACTGGAAAAATATTGAATTCCTTTGTTCGAGTAATATTGCATTATAATTTTCTTTCGTGTGTATTGGGTGTCGCATCTTGGTGCAATAGCAAGATTATCGATTTTATAAGTGTTAATATAAAGATGTGATGACTAATATTTGAAGCATGGAATATGTATATCATATTATTTGGTGTGGTAAATTTTTCCTGAATACGCTAATCTGGAATAACACTTTTGCAAACGCTCAAATCTAGAGTCCCGCCCACATTTGCTGAGGAAAGTCAAAATTTCATCTATGTTCAGCTTGCAAAATGTCATCGTCTGGCTGCGGAAGCGACTGCGATGTCGTGTCATTGTCGTAATCATCATCAACAACGATTTCGATTTTTCGCAAGATTCCACCACTCGCCATTCCCCACATTGCTCAAGCTTTGTTGGTGTTTACACTTCATATTGCTCACACTTCACGGTAGATCCTTTGTTTTTATGCGCCAAGTCTTGTGTATACAGAAATGTGGAGCGCAGAAGCACTGCCTATGCGTCGCAGCAATTTTTAACTAGAAGTCTGGGCTCAGACTATTTTGCAAATATGTGCACTTAAGTATGTACGAGTGTGTATGTAGGCGCCCATGCGTATTTATAGTAACAGGAAATGAGGAAAAGGCGTTGTGTAGAAATATCCTTAATGGACGAGTTTATTCACTTTCAACTAAGTGCACATATATGCATCCATGTGCCTTCAAAAATCATTAAACTATGTATTGGCTTGCACTATTTCCATTAAAACAAATAATGTTATTGTGTATTAATACGGCCCCATATTTTAATTCACAGTGGTTCGAATAAAGTGGAAGATGCCATCGAATGTTACCAACGCGCCGGCAACATGTTCAAGATGTCCAAGAATTGGGCGAAGGCCGGTGAATGCTTTTGTGAAGCCGCTAATTTACATTCGCGTGCCGGTAGTCGTCACGATGCCGGTGTTGCATATGTAGATGCGTCGAATTGCTACAAAAAGGTATGCACAAATGGTTTCAACATTTATTTTAAGATTCTATAAATTGATACACCCTTGTAGATCGATGTGGAAGGCGCTGTCTCATGCCTGCTAAAGGCTATCGACATCTACACCGATATGGGCCGTTTTACCATGGCAGCAAAGCATCACCAGAGCATTGCTGAAATGTATGAAAGCGACCCAGGCACGCTGGTACGTTAACGGCTAACTCTCTTTGTGTATTATTTATTCCTATTAATATAAACTAATTTCTTTAAACTAACCACATCGATACTCAACAGGCCAAAGCTGTGCAGCATTACGAACAAGCTGCCGATTACTTTAAGGGCGAAGAATCGGTGAGTTCAGCCAATAAGTGTATGTTAAAGGTAGCTCAATATGCCGCACAGCTAGAAGATTACGAAAAAGCTATCAATATCTATGAGCAGGTAAGTTTCTTTAACGAGAAGTTCTTAAACTTTAATCTTTGTTTTACTTATCATTCTCATCATTTATATGCTTTCTTTAGGTTGCCGCTTCATCGTTGGAAAGCTCACTGCTCAAGTATAGCGCTAAAGAGTATTTCTTCCGTGCTGCTTTATGTCACCTTAGTGTGGATTTATTGAATGCTCAACACGCTATTGAGAAATATGCGCAGCAATATCCAGCATTCCAAGATTCGCGTGAATTTAAACTCATTAAGGTAGGGAAGAAACGAAGTAGTACATGGAGAGAAATTATAATATTAACAAAAAGGAGGATTTTTTGCAACTTCATAAAATGCAGCCCATGAAAAAAGTAACTGATTCGTATTAGTTTTTTGGTCTACAAAAATGTTTGGTTTCACACAATTTTATTAATTGACATGAGTTATTGAAGGAACTAAACAAACTCTCTTTTCATGGAGAACTTGTAGTAAAAGTACAATAAAAAGTTTATGGAATGGTGCTGAAGTACTGACGGACCTTGCGCAGGAATAATAAGGAGAATCGCAAAACTCTCACGTTTTTCTTTAATAAAAAAACCATTTTTATAAACATTTACTGTATGTATAGAGGCGCGAAGAACTAGAGCTCCCAATTTGTAGAAGAAAAAAATCCCACGTTAGATAGTGGAAACCACGGCTTTATTCATAGGCAAATAGTTTCTTAAAGCTTTATTTTAAATTGTTTTAATCTTTTTTTGCAAAACTTCCTTAAATTTTCTCACATTTCAGGTGCTTTGCGAACACTTGGAGGAGCAAAACATCGAAGGCTTCACAGAAGCAGTTAAAGATTATGATAGCATTTCACGCTTGGACCAGTGGTATACCACAATATTGCTTAGAATTAAGAAAGCAGCCGATGAGGATCCCGATTTACGATAAATTTATCATTAAATTTACTAATTATATACAACAAGTAATAATTATTCCAAATAGTGAACGTATAAAAAAGCAAACAAAAATACACAAACGTAATTTTCAAATTTCACCAACACAGGACCCATAGTAACCACAAATATATATATATATATATATATATATATATTTTTTTTTGACATTAACAAGTAACCCCAGTTAATTATTAGCTAAATAAAGCAAGAAAAATCGAATTAATCATAATAAAAATACATCAACTAAATAGATATACAGCTATTCTTTTACAGACAGTACCACCAAAACACATAAACATCAACACTAACCACATACATACATCTACACAACAAAAATCCACTAATTACAGCAGACAGACTCCAATTGCTAATATTTCGTATAAAAGAAAAAATATTCAACATTATTACTATTATTATTATAAAGGAATAGAAGCAATATTAGCTTCATATTACCGAAAACAAAAATAAACATATTTTATTTTAAAATTTCATATTGTGTAATACAAAATGTAATAACTGCATGCATTGAATGGCAAAACAAACGCATGTAGTTAGCAGAATTTAAAACGCATGGGAAATGGAAATTTTGCATAATTTCACAGCGCTACATACACACCAGCCAAACGATTGAAGATTTGTAAATGTGGAAAGTGGAAAATATAAGTCAATGTTTTGCGATTAAATAACAACTAAGCTGCATTGAGCGTCTAAACAAATTGAGGAATCTTTGTAATAACAATACAAATTCGATAACTTCATCAGCTAATTTGTGTGGAAAGCTAACTCTGCTATGGAAATGACAGATACATGCTTGTTTTAGATTGGTAAAAGGGAGAATTGAATAAAACATGCTTGGATGCATTTTGTGAAGCTTTTTTTAATTGGAGTAAATTTCTTTGTGAGGCATTTTAAATGCCAAATACTTATATTTTCGAAGTTAATTTGAATTCATTTAATGAATAATTTTTATAAGAATTATTTTATATGCACTGAATACTTGCTTGTGGTTAAATAATAAGTTTTAATGCTGTAATTTTTTCGGCTGATTTGTGAGTGAATTACAATAAATTTTTTATATTCTTACCTTTTATTTTTTTTGAATTTTCTTTCTCAAGGCTTACAGCTAACTTAATACGTGTGTTGCCAAATAAATATTAGCGCTCTATACATGTATATCTACTCCTTATAACTGTTTGTTAAATGTGTTAATTCGTTATTTAAAAAGCATAATAAAATAAAGCTGTAACTTTTCAAATCAAATTATATGCTATTGAATATATAAAAGCACTCATTATGTAACTTGGTAAACAGATTTATTTATTTAAATGGCATTGTTAATGTAATACTTGGTAAACGGTTTATTCAGTTAAATGAAAATGTTATAAAAGCAAATATAACAAATATAACTAACCGTGAAAAAAAGAAAACAATAACTATGGTAGAAAAACATACATACATATGTGCATGCATAAATGTAAGCAAATGTATAAAACATTGCAGGTGGAAAGGCGCCATATATAAAAATGGCTAAAGAAGGTGAACGTGAAAAGAAAAGAAAAAAAAAATAAGTGACTACAAAATTTGATAATGGTAAAAGGGCATGCAAGATATATTACAATAATCAATTAATGTAACCATATTAACATACATATACATATACTATATTCAAAAAAAAGTTTAGGCATATTTAAACCGTAAGTTATATTCATAAGAGATTTCTACAAGGTAAGCAACATTAATGTAAGCTGAATACACTGATGATTTAATAAAAACTATACTGCACTCCAACTTAGGTATGAAACAATCCACTAAATTTCTTGGCGGTAGCGTTAAAGTCTACAACAACAACGACATTTGAGCTGCTGGTCATTATTTGATAAAAGAAAAATTAAATTGTTGGCGGTAGCGTTAAAGTCTACAACAACAACGACATTTGAGCTGCTGGTCATTATTTGATAAAAGAAAAATTAAAGTTGAGTAACAACTTCTTAATAGTTATAAGTAAAATATTATACACATATTCATACTTATATTCAAAAATCAATTAAATATCGCGTATAATTAACGCAAAAGTAATTAAAAACTAATCCCAAAAATATATAAACGCATAAATTAAAGCAAAGAAGAACACAAAAGCTTAGAAAAAGTTTCTTGGGGAGTAAACTTTAATTCCAAATTTGGCTTTTGACACTTTAAATGAATATACATATACATATATTACATTTGCGTAATTGTGAAGACATTATATTCTTCGTTTAACTATTATCATTATTAAATACCAAAAATAATTAACAGTGAATGAAATATGTAACTCATTTCACGCTTGTAAAAGAAACATATTTATAACTACATAAATATTACTAAACTTATTACACAAGCTTGAACATTATTTACCCACATACAAACATATGCATATGTAAAGCAAATAAACACGCATTTTATTCAAATACTATGCATTATTAAACAAAACAAAAATACAAGAACACTAAACGATCAACAATTTGAAATGCATATACTTATGTAAAAGCAATTAAAGTGGAAGCAAAGAGCTAGCGGCGTAAGCCCTTCCATGCAATAAAAACTTTAAACAATGTATTAGCAATTGGCTAACAAAAAAGTAACTTTGTCTCACATTTAAAAAAAAAAACATTCGTAGTGTATTAGTAACGAAAAACACTTTTATTAGAAGTTAGCGATACTAACAAAAACCAAAAGAAACTTTATGAATAAAAAAAAACATTAAGAGTTGATGCCGAGAAAAAATGATTTATTGTTCTTATATTTAATAACATTCAAGAGATGTTTGAGCATGCATTCAATAAACTATAAATATGTGTGTATTATTGTAATTACTCAAATAAAAAGAAGGAAACAAATTACCAAACGAAGAAAAAACAAAACAAGCAAACAAATATTGCACACAAAAATACCAAAAAGGTAGAGCCCGTTGACATATTAGCGAGGTGAAAGGATATGTACCCAGTACCGGGACTAGCGAGGCAGCATGTGCACATGTGCGCATGCGCCTGGATGAAGATGAAAAAAGCAAACAAAAAAACTACCAAAAAACAGCAGCTGCATAAGATCCACACAATAAAGCTTAATTTAAATAAATTAAGAAGAGCAGCAGCAGCGCGTATGCAACACCAGATAAAATTAGAGCGAATAAAAGACGAGCCAAAGAAATAAGTTCATCAAAACAAAAACAAGCAAATACATCAAATAAAATATTGCATTAAATAAGAAAAAACAAACATTAAAGGACATTTTTACGGTGAAAAAAATAACCGGACAGTAAAAAACTATATTGCAGTTTTAATTGCTTGTTAACTAAAACAACAGGTATTAAAACTATCAAAGAAATTATGCTATTAGAGCTTAACAAGGTTAAAAGTCAGGCATTAAAAACTTTTTGGACTTTTGAAGCTAGAAAAGATGTTAAAAAAGTTGCTTCAGCACTTTGAAGCTCTAAACCACGTAGTTTGGAAAAAATTCCATTTTTTTTTTTTGTTGCATTTTCAAAAGTGACCGAGCATACTTTTCTGCAATGTTATTTTTTAACTTAAAAAAAACATGCTAAAGTAGTAAGCATTTTTTAAAGCACAATTTTATGAAAAAGAGAAGTTCATAAAACTCAAAAAAAAAAACATTAAAAATCATGTAACGGTGTGCGAAAATTAATAATTTCGTGCTAAAAACGCTTGCAGAATTTCAAACACATCCGAAATAAGAAAAACCGAAACAAAATTCGATAATATCGTCTGAATGAACGAAAATGACTAAAAATCAGAAAATTTACACAGACGCCTTAAAAATGCATTGTGCAAAACGTTTAATATATAATACATATGTGCATACATACAGCAGTGCTCACGAAAATAGCAGCGCGGCATATACAGCCCTATCGCCGATTCCATGTGAATAAATCGTTCCCATAATTTAACCTGCAAAATAAGAACCAATTGGGAAACATTGTTTTTGTTTTGCTTTATAATTTTTTGGAATATTTGTTCATTTTAAATTCGCAATAGGGCCCATAGACATTTTTTTAACAATTTAATTTCCGTTTATTTAATTTTAATCATTTTATTTTTAATATATTTATTCTACAATAAAAACCGTGCAACAATTATTTTTTCAGAATTTCAGTACTTTTTACAGCTACGCAATTTTATAGCCCAAAAAATTTTAGTATAATTAAGTGCAATTTTCAAGTGGCTAAGAATTCGCTTTGATTTTAAGTATTTTTTTTTTGATGATACTTTGCATTTTCTTCCATATAAAGAAAATTTAAGTATTCTTTATATAAAGAAAATTTGAGTTATCTTTATAAGGAAGAAAAGGCAGGGCAAACACCTTTTATGAAAAATATGCTCGAAAATCAACGCAAATTTTGTGCCACTTCTAACTTGCACTAAAATTAACGGGGCTACAAAACTGCATACCCGAAATTTTTTTCAACTGCTTATAAAAACGTTTAAAATTTTTACAAAACATTGTTGGGATTTGTTGAATTTTTTAAAGTTTGTAGAAAGTTTTAGAATTTTATTTCTTTGGTTTTTTGTTATTGGTTGTAGGGTTAACTATATTTTTTTTTAAGTTTTTGTTTTATTAGATAAAAGGAAATTAAATTGTTAAAACTTTAATACGTTGCGCTGCTATTTTCGGGAACACCGGTGTATGTACATATCTACATATGCATATTGAAAAAAACTAGCTAAAAATGCAAAAACGCTTTGAAATTTCTTACAAGTGTTTGAAAGCTTTCAAAAGCGCTCGTAATGTATGTTAAAGCGCAGTAACTGTTTCAAAAACATAAAACAGTGGAAGCAGAATTTCAAAACCACACTAAGAGCTTTCAAAAATATCTATAAAGCTTTTAAAAACACTTTTAATGCATTACAGATCGTTGCAAAAGCTTCAAAACAGAGATTCAAGTACTTCAAAAATGCATTTGGAGCTTTCAGAAATCTTTTGAGTAACTGCTTAAAAATCGAAAAATGTTGACTAAAACTGTAAAAAAAAAATCACAAAAATTTAAAAAAAAAACTTACTGGAACCAGAATCAACAAAAAACCACTTGAGACATATTCAAAACGAAAATCACGAAAAAAATGTCAAAAGCGCACCAAAACGGACGGTTTATAATAAATACAAGCAGTGCAAAGCATAAAAATAAAAATTTTCAAATTTGTTTTTATTTTTATGCATTTGTGGCTTAGCATTAAAATATAAAATTAAAGAAAATGCACTTAATAGTTTATAAACGGCTTATAAACATACATACCCTACACTCCACAAAAATATATATCACCACTGAATAACTGTACAATAGTAACTATTTCACCTAAACTTTCAGCACTTAAAAGAAAAAACAGTAAAATCACATAAATACGCTTAAAAATAGTTTCGAACTTATAAAAAATCGATTGGAAACAGAAAAATTGGTTTTAGCGTCATGAAGTACACTTGAAAAAATTCAGTACAACAAAATTTAATTCCATTCATCCGAGTACCAAAACAACCCTGCTCCAAGAACCATTTACACAAGTCATCATACGCACCTGAAATTTTCACAAATCAGCAAAGGGCAATTGTTCAATGACTACAACACTTAAACCACTTTCAAATTCTGTAAAACTTTAAATGTACTTGAAAATATAAAAAAGTGCAAAGCACGTTAAGGAAAACGTATTAATTCAATTTATATGAAAAAATAAAAAATGTTTCAAATTAAGTAGTGTAAATTTGCACCAAAGCTCAGCAAACATGAAAATAATTACATCACACACAACGACACATTGAAATACAATTTTCATAAAAGAAAAACAAAGTCA